TGTAAAGTTATTTATTCACTAAAGCAGAAGATTATTTCATAAACAGCCTATTTTGGGGATTTTTTTGCCACTGAGGAAACATTGCATCATTGGCCACTCGCCTGGTAAGCTTTATATTATGCAGATCGTTAAGTAGCAATACAATTAAAAAAGGATTTAAAGTCAATTAATAATTGATAAATTGCTTTGATATTATGAGGTATTATTTTTGTATAACACAGCACATTAATCTACAGCATAAGCTGTTTTATTTATCAATACTTAGCTGCAGACAACCCAGATCTGAAGTAGTGGGAAAAAAACCTAAAAAAACTCATATTAAATGTTTTATTTATAACTATGAAGCTCTTTGGATCTCAACTTTTTTTTTTCTTTTTTCAAAACTCGATGAGATTTTTTTGATAAAACGTTGCATACTGAACAATCTTTGATAAAGTTTGCATCTTATATCACTGAAACTGCTTGTGTGGCTTTTGTTGGCCATTTCTAACAACCCCAAAAGTATTTGTCTTCAGACAGGTTGGCAGGTTACCCTATTAGCCAGCAACTTCCCAGCTTTATGCCTTTATTCTTATTACATGGAAGTGCTTCTGACAGCCTTGAGCTTTTCATGATATGCTTTCTAAGTGTTTGATAAAATATTTAGAGCTTACTGCTTTGTTTTCTCTCATTTTAAAAACCCATGTGTATTTCTCACCACACCATCCGTTTTTGCCTTCCAGTTAGATTGTTTCATTTTGCCAAGGATTATTATTTGCATTTATCAGTATAATTTTACATAATGGGAGGAACTCCAGACTCTGTGTAGACCAATCCATGACCTGTAGTGTCTCATCGTGTGCTTATCTATTCAAGTATGCAATTATTGTACTGGGGATTTGTTTGGAAATATTGGCACACAGAAAAATGATTCTAACAAAAATTAGCTGCTTTGTTTTGACATGTCATTTTTTAATGGGGTAACGCTCCTGTTTAGTGTCATACTGAATAAAATGCTGATTTGTGTCAAGCTTTAGTCTAACAAGTAAAATTGCTCATCTGTCAAATCAGTTTTTTAAACATGTTTTGCATATTGTACCAAAAAAATTAATGGAAATGTGCAACAAATTATGTTGACTCATGTAGTTGTCTGTTATGTGACGAGAGGTTGCTGTCCGCAAAGGTTGCTCCTTCAATGAATCAAACCAAGTAAAACACTCCCATCATAACAGTCAGTTCAAAAGTTTAGAAAAGTGATGAAAAGTATAACAAATCTCAAAAGAAATGCTAGTGACTGGAAAATCACCATAACACTTCTTCCAAGCACTTTTAGGCTTGTGGAATAAAAAAATAACAAGAAATTTTAACTTTCAAAACAGCAGCACATATTTTCTATATGAAATCAAACATACACTTTTAAAACACAACAGTATAAATACTTTTTGAGCACAAACTACATATTTCCATTGACAAAACTCAAACCTTTCATGTGTTTGCTTTTCAGAGGAAATTCACCTCTGCACTCTCAGAGCAGCATCCCAGCTTTCTCCTTGTCAGATACTATTTGCCTAAATCACTAACTGGCTCACTGTATGCTGACATTATGTAAGTAAATACTGCTTTCTGTCTTCTTTCTGCATCCAAGTCTTGCAATAGAGCCTTGCTGCCAGTGTCTAACCCATTCATTAAAAAAGATGAAAAAAAATTGCTATTGTTGAGTGTTTCTGTAAATGTAATTCTTAAGTGATGCATTAAATTATGCAAGTATTTGTTTGATAATTCCAGTTTTCTTCTTGTTCCAAGGAGAAATTCTTGGAGGTTAAAATGACGCATTATGTAATCTGGAGGACTAAGCCAGGTTGATGAATGGCGTCTTTACACAGCTAATCACTGGCCAATATTTGGGTATTAAATAAAAACAAAACTTGTGGTTAGGAGTTTCTTTACATATATATATATTTCAATTTGATTTCCAACTCATTTAGTATATTTTCTAAGTTTAATCACTTTCGAACGGATAAACACCTAATTAACTGTTGCCCATCATTAACATTTGTTTGTTGAAATAATTTAAACATACCTTTCTGTGGAAAACATAATATGTTAAAGTCAGGAGTGTCTTTTACTCATTGATTGATTATAACCTGTATGACACTTAGAACTGTAATTAAACTGTGGGAAACAGAAATCAATTTGGTTTTCTAAAATCAGATTCTCCCAAAGACACAGAAATACATTGAAACTTTTATGTAAAATGTCATTTTCTGAGCTTTTTGGTTGATCTTTTATTTTCACTGTATAAAATGAAATGACCATAAAAATTATGACTGTTCATTTCTATTTACTTGTGCAAATAAGCAGAGTACAAATGATAATTCCTCCAATTTATTTTAATTAAGACTTTCATTTTGGTTTGTGTGTTTTTTCAGATTTAATGTTATTTTCAATTATCTTAGATTTTAAAGAAGTCATATCAGACGCAAATAACCAAATCTAAAGTCACATTTCATATTTTGCTGTGTGTGCTGGTTTATTTATGAATGTAAGAACAATATAAATGGGGATATTAAGAAGATTTTGTGGCATTCACATCCATATGTGTGTATTGAATTCAATGCTGTGAAATTCACAGTATTCTGCTGCGTCAGGACCAGGTACGTTACTTATCATGTTGTCAGCATCTTATTACATATTAGAAGGATCAATAAATATTTCTGTGATCTATGAGTGCCCTCAAGTGGTCAGACAATTATTAATCGAATTATTAAAAGTTATTTATGCTATAAGCTTCACTTTCAGTTCCAAAAGTCCAACATACAAAGGTAAATGAGGCTCCTTGAGAAAGTGAATGTCCAAATAATCTCGGTTATGTGGTGATGAAGTCGTGTATGCTGCTATACTTAATGTATAGGATATACGTATACTTAGTGTGTTATTAAACAATGCAGCATCAATGTTTTCCTATGAGTATCTTCCTGTATCACCAAACAGAAGACAAAAATATTTAAATGTGTGATGTGAGTATTAAAAAACTCTGAGTTCTTGAAAGAAGTAGAAGTATTCAATAAAATCCACACAATGATACAGTTAATCTTTCCTGTAGTAAAACCAAATAGTTATTCAATAACATTTGGTCATAAAGAACAATAAATATTATAATTCAATCACTGAGGCGTGAGGTAGTTGCGGCTTATTTTTAAATATTGCAGTTGAGATAAAGCTTTCTGTGTTGAGCTTCTTATTTAATGATGACCACCAGTGCGGTCTTTGTGTGATATTATTTTCATAGTGCATATAAAATACTGAAATAAAACACACAGCAGCATTTACAGAGTCGGAGGCCAATAAAGCCTCTCTGCAGACACTGAATAGATGAACAAAAACACATCATAGATTGAGTCTCTGAGCTGTTCCGACCTTTTTCTTGACTCTTTGTTCTTTACAGTTACAGTGTCTTGCAAAGAGATTCATGCATCCATTAAAATTTTTAACACATTTCAATTATAAACTTTAATGTCTTTTAATTGGATTTGACATGACAGACAACACAAGAAAGCAAATAATTCTGAAGTAAAAGTTAAATATATAAATGTAAATTTTTTTCCCTGTGCATTGATATTCAGCCTGTTACTTTGACATGCCAAAATAAAAAAAAATCCCAATAGTCAACCAATTTGTGAATTAAAAGATAAATTCAAAAGTCAAGTTGGAGAATTTGTCAACAAAGCAATTGTTAGTCAAGCAGTCTACAAACATGAGCTTTATGAAAGAATGTAAGGGCACTAAAGTGGAAGAAAGTGAAAAAAGAAGATTTCCGTAATAAGCCTGTAAGAAAAACACATCTGAACTCCATGTGATTCATAAACTACCCGTGAAAATTGTCAATCCTGCACAGCTGAGAGTTTAAAATAAATAAAGCCATCGTAAGTCTCCTCAAGCAACCCAAATTCAATTTTATGCCCATTTTTTTGCCCAAATGCAACCGATATCCTGTCTCTTTTCACACTGCAAAAAGATCTGAGAATCCTATATGTATCCAACATTTTTTAAAGAGTCTGGCTTTAAAATGCGTCACTTTTTATGATTGACTTGAGAAATGATAAAATGTCTTCTGGTAGTTCTGTACCAGAAGAAGTCAGACTTGTTAAGCCTGGACGTAAACAAAAGCTGGAGCAGATGTGACTTCTTTTGTCTCTGTTTTTTCTTGCTATGAAAATACTGCTGACTCTGTAACTTTAAAATCAATCTATAAACTGCGGCATCCGTTACTTCATCTGTAAACATGTAAACAGGGCTCTCCTGCGGCTACGTTTTTCTTCTGTGCATAGCGGACTAACAGAAGTCTGATTTTGGTCGCATTTAATTAGTAGCAGTAACGGTCATGTAAAAAACTAAATTTCAGCAAATAAAGTCTGAATTGAACATCAAGACTTGTTGTGTGAACGAAGCCATAAAAGAAACAAACATTGCTTTGATCGTGTCTTGAAGTATTTCTTGAAAGGACTAAAGTTAACTCCATAATTGCCTCAGATGTAAAAATCTGAAAGAGACACACCCACAAGACTGAAATTGCAGTTAACAATGGCTCTTTTGACTCAACAGGGCTAAATGTATGCACTTTTAATATCTTTATTTGTTCAAAAAAAGTAAAACTATGGTTTTCCTTCCACATCACAATCATTTGTGTTGTTTTATCAGACATCTCAATCAAATACTTTGCAGTTTGTTTTTGTACCATTACAAAAAGTATCAAGATGTGTTGGTACTTTTGCAAGGTTGTTGAAGTGCATTTGAATAAAAACAATACAAAAAATCTTAATATCAATCAGTCAATAAAATGTGTCAAATCATCCCTAAGAAGAACACTCCCCACTGATATTAAATAAATGTCCATATCTGAAATTATCTACTCTATTAAAACTCTAAGGAAGTAGAAAACATACATATGAAGTTTGGTTTCAAGTTTAGATAATCAAATCTGCAGACAACTTAAATGTGATCAGCCTCTCAGTTGATCTTACCAGTCTCTCCCCACACAGGCAGGTATTCATCCTGCTGGATGTCCAACATCAGCTCCAGGCCGTTGCCCGTTCCGCCCTTCATCGTCACCAGGAGGGGTCGTCCATCTTGGCCTGAATTAAATGTGTAGCATTTCCCGTAGCGTGTAAATATCTGAAACACACACAGAAAGTCCTGGCTTTAATAACAACTCAAATGTTTCACATTCACTAAAACAAGAGTTTCAGACTTTCTTTCCTCTGAGGGATTAAAAAATAAAGAAAACAGCATCTGTTCAGGTTGTGCTACCAGACACGGATCTCAGAAGCCTTTATGTAGAGAGCCTGTTCACAAGCTGAACCCTGGCCGCTCTCAATACTGCATGATTTAGTTTGTGCTTGAGAAAACAGGACATGATTTTTGTTTCAGAGTTGGACGACCTATGTCTGGCAAATTTCACACAACACAGCATTGAGATATCTGACCATTCCCCAACGAAAAGGTAAAAATATCACGTCCTTGAGAGCTAAAAACAAGTATGGTTTCAGAAATTAAATGCTTTGTATGCCAATTTAATGTCATTTTTCACCATTTCATCACTGAATAAATAAAGTGCACAAGTATTTTTAATGCTAGTCTAATGCTATTTTATGACAATGGATGCAAATGTATAAAGATTTTTGTGTTGTTTTAATTAAAGATCAGCTCATGTGCCTCGGTTAGCAAACTTTTCCTTCCAGTTCTAACTCAACAGTTTTCAGTTCACTGCATTTGTCTGCTGCATCTTTTCCTCATAGTGCTGGATTGGATCATTTCAGCCATCATTGAGCTGGATTTGTTTTTGCTGAGCTCGTTGACCAGCTACCTTCTAAAGGCTGATTCACACCACCATCAACATCCTTTGATAAATCCCTCAAAACCGTTAACCCTCCTTTTCCTGCTGCAGATGAACTATTGGTGGCAAATACACCAGTAAGTTTCATATTTCTGTTTTTAACACATTCTTTTGGGTAAATTATGGCCAGTCCATGAATGTGCATTAACCTACCAGGTATTGCCCGGCACACTAGATGGCCATTCCACCCCAGGCCAGAAACAGTGTTTACATCGCAATGTCAAGGAAATCTGAACTATCCACACACAGTGTGAACATATTTTGCACAATGTGCTTGATTATGGAGACTTCAGCGTTTTTTTCTCTCTTGCAGACGATTTGTGGTCATCAGACTTCATGTGTAATCTCGAGGCATTGACATCTATTCTCCCGGCCTTAATCTTTTTGCATCCGACACAAAATCCTTCATCATCCTTACCATCTTATCTTAATTTACAATTCTCTTTCCACCTCAGCTGGAATTTGCACTTACTCATTTTTTCTGCTGTTCATCTTCCCAAAATTACACCGAGCCGCTAGAAACAGTTTCCAAAATTGATGTACGTTGCTGGCAATAATCCATAAATTCCCCAATGAGGGAGTTCAGCTGAACAATTCGGATTTGTTGAACTCCCCTTATTTCCCCTGAAACCTATAAAAACTGAGATTTAGATTTAATCATTTACAAACAAATCTAAGGCCTTAAATTTAAAGTTAGAAAATGTATTTTATAATTTTAATGCCATGCTTAAAAACCTGTTGTTTTACAAAATAAAGCTGAAACAATTTTGCTGTTTCAAAAATGTGTACTTTTTGTTCAAGTTGCCAAAGTAGAAAAGAAAACAAAAGAAACAGTGAAGAAGAAATAGAAACACATTTATTCTAAACTTCAACATTTAGGATAGCGAGGGTGGTTTGAACCCCGGTTAACATTCATCTTATTAAACTGTGGGAGGAAACAACAATATTTAAAAAAAAAAAAAAAAAGTTGTGCATGTATGTGGAAAATACTCAGAACCTTTAAACAATGGCCTCCAACAGCTTCATTTGAAATGCAGGCTTTCGTTCTGAAACGCTCGAGCTGAAACCCCCATGGAGTAATAACACACTCTGAGACTTGATGTTCTCTGCTATTATGTAACAAATGAGCTTGACAAATGGGCCTTCGAAATAAAAAAAATCCAATATTCTGCAAGAAAAAGCTTGCATATGTAGACGGTTTAGTCTGATTTACAAAACATAAATGCATAGTTTGGCAGCGCCCAAGTTTACAGCAGCTACAGTTGATCTGTGGAAAACAAGCTGATCTTTTCTCCAAAGCAATAGGAGTTTGATCAAGATGAGAATATTCTTCAATGTTTCACAGAATACATTATAGAGGATTAGTACTGAATTGCTAATATTTAATAATTAAGAAACAAGTTTGATTATTTACAGCTGGAGGAAGTATACAGAACGTACATCCACAAGTAACCAATGTGTTTTTGTTCTTGACCAGTCCAACAGTTATATCGCTCAACCCCAACATACAAACTGTACTGTGAGCTAACAGCTGGTAGCATGGTTCGCTGCATGGTCTGTGGCTCTGACCTGTGGCTCTGACCTGTGGCTCTGACCTGTGGCTCTGACCTGTGGCTCTGACCTGTATCTGTGGTGTATGTCTGAGTAAAAACCCAAAGCACCGGGCATCAAGAGACAACATTTATTTTCGGTTTATATGTCTAATCTGCATGGAACTTCTTCAGTTTTCTCTGTTTGCTTCCATTTATGTTTATATTAATCAGTTATTCTTCTTTTTTGTTAGAGGTTCCTTCATGATTTTTTTTACATTATGTCAACCTCCACCTCCTAGTTATCCTAGTTTAGGGTTTCCCTGAGTTCATTACGCCAGTGAGTGCAATAAAGTGAGTGGTATTGTTGCCCTGCAGCAATAATGTCAGGTTTCAAACCCTGACCTGAATTTTGGATTAAATTAGCATGTAAGTGTTGCTCTGTGGTGAATTGGTGATCAGTCGAGGGCAGTGGGGTCCAGCCTCTTGAGCACACAAATATTTTTAATCGAGTCACTTAAAAAGTGGTATACAATTAGCATCAGCAGCTAATATTAGCTAAACTTGTGTTGTTTCCATCATGTTTCTTTGTATTTCCAGTTCCTCCAGTGCATATCTTTTCACATCATCTCTTTGGATTCAGTGATGTTTTCATTCATCACCATTGTACATTTGGGTTTTAGTTTTTCTGTTTACCTTTATGTCTTCCATGATTCTGGCGTCTCCTGCCTGGCCTTAGATGCAACCAGACAGCCAAACCTGACATGTAATATGTATGAGATTAATAAATTACTTTGCTTTCAGGTCATCAAACTGCATTGGCAAAAAAAAAAAAAATCAGACATTAGAGAAGCTGGAAACAGATCTGTGAATTTATTCCACAAAATAAGCACATAAATCATTGGCTAATTAAATTGTTATGTTAGTTTCTTCTTTGAGCAAAGTAGATGAAAACTCAAAATGCTTTTGTGTTATATTTAGCAAAACAGTTAAACTGTGGTTAAAAAAAATCTAGATTGGAAAACCTGAATGCTTGACATACTTGACTGTTCATCCATGTACATTACAGTAGAACCTGATGCTGGGCCACTGTAGCATTTCCAAACTACAGTATGTCCCACTGGCAACGACCGGATTGCTGGTGAACTAATGGATGTATAATCTAATCAGAAACATCCAGGAAATGAAAAAGCATACCTACGGTCCAAAATGAAATTTTTTCCTACTTTGTTTGCTGAGTCACATGCTGAGATCCACGCATTACAGTATCCTAGCTCCTAATTAACTTAGAATTAACCTTCAACATGTTGACCTTAATATTTGGAATGGGAACAGTAAGCTGAATAAACACAGGAAATAAACTGTGAATAACTTATTTTTTATCACCATTTCACAGAAGAAGATAGAATGAGTCCATCCGTAAAAACTGGATGTATAAAAAATCTTTTTGCAATAAGACAAAAGTCTACTTTTAGCCTTCTGCCATCGCTCAGAAAGCTGCCTTTCGCTTGAATTTTATGCGAGAACTTTGATAAAAGATAAGAAGGCGTTTATTACATAGTTGACTTATGAGTCAGACGTTATTGCTTCATGACTCAAATGCCACAAACACCAGATGCACCAAGCTGAAAAAAATATCAAACACAGCCATGCCTCACAGAAGAAAAGTTAGAATAATGTGAATCCTGCTTAGTGAGGTGTGTGGAATAGAGCGAAACTTGAATCAAAGAGAGGCACGGTTTTCATCGGAGCCTGTAAAACACAATGCAGTGAAATGTAATGAAAAGCCGACTGATAAGTCCAACACGATATGAGACGTGACCTTCAAAAGTGAAGGTGGCAAAACTGAGCCATATAGTACCAGCTTATGTGCAGAATAAAAATATGAATAAAATGCCCCTGAAATCCATCTTCTGTCCCAGAGCTCCCTCTCAGTGTAATCAGATCACTATTTGTCATTTCTCTTTGGAATATAAAGGCAGAAGATTTTTACAATATCACAAAGCTGCCTCCTTTCATCCAACAAAGCACTTGACAATTACAAATGGACCAAACCTGCTGAAAAAAATCCTTGCTTTCAGTTTCAGGCTTAACGAAGCAAAACACTGGAAAAATCCAAACTATTTGATACTGCAATTTCTTTCAATCTCCTGTACAAAATATTGTTCTTCTTGTTTTTTTTTAAGTGAAATATGAACAAAAGAAGAGGCATTTAGTGTCATACTAAAAGAAAGCATTTAGCAGAAACAATGATGAGATTGTAACAAATGTGCGAGAGCGCTTACGTCTGTTTCTTACTGCACAAGCCGGTTTGTACGAGAGCATGAATGATGATGTTTACCCAGGAGAGGATGTGTTTGTGTGCATGCATGCAGCCCCCCTACTTGCCATCTGCGTGTATGTGTTTGTAATGTGGTGATTGACTACAGCAGGCCTGTAGTCGAGAGTTGCTGTGGTAACCAGGAGATTGTGCCGGCTGCATTGAGTGACGAGCAGCAACAGTGGGTGCTGGCGCTGACCTTGGGGAGTCAGGATTCTCATTGTGTGCGCCAGACTCCGAGGTTCGCTCTGTCTCATGCATCTCTACGTCTGTCTGTCAACAAGCCTGTCAGTCTCATTCAGCTGCCCAGCCTGTTGGCAGCGCAGACACACTGTGACATTTTCTCAATAATTTAGCGTAAGACATGCATTTCTTTGTCAAGATCCAACCTTTGTTGTGAGTGAAATGAAAAGTTTGGTAAAAACATGCA